CTAATGTCCAACCTAAACTGCTCTTGCTGCAATTTGAGCCCATCGCTTCTTGTTCTACCATCAGATCCACTGGATCATGCTGACTCTGATAGAGTTATTTGAATTATGGTAGAACCTCAAAATTACAAATTAATTTGGTTACTCTGAAATTTTCAAAACATCATGGTTCTTTCAAAAGTTTATAACCCAACACTGACTTAATCTGGTATTGAAAATTTACTATGAAGAAGAAAAATGCTGCTTTCCTTTTTTTTTTTTTTTTTTTTTTTTTTAAAGGCAGTACTGTACTGTATTTTTCTTTCTTTTGTGTGTGTGTCTGCTGCTGCCTGATTGTGAATTTCCAAGTCAGGTGTGTGGTTTACTGCTCAATTCATAACTCTGGTGTTTGTAACTCGACGTTCTACTGTACTTTGAAGTAGCAGTTACAATTATTATTAATGCTCTTACAATTTCATGTGTCAAGGGGCCCCAATCAGAATTAGGGTCTTGTTGTAGTAAGCATATACAAACACATTCAAAGACACAGTCCCTGCCACAGAGATTTGATATTTTGAAATGCTGTGAGGTCCCACATCAGATTAAGGATGCTAAATTGCATTGTATCAACTAATTGACTAGTCAAAGGAATTTCCATCGACTAGTTCATTAGCTGATAAGTGGGGGCAACTGCTCCTGGCCGCAAGAGCTAATCCCATGGCAGCTCTGCCTTTTAAATGTATTTGGAGCCGGTAGGCTCTTAATACACTTAAAAGGCTAAAGCGCAGTGGGGAGGACCAGGCATGAGCTGGGAATCAGCTGTCCCAGCTCGCTCCTGGACCCCTCACTGCACTTCTGCTTTTTTATGCATTAAACAGGCACTTAATGCATTTAAAAAGAAGAGGTTCGGCTCTGGAACTGGGCTTGCACCCAGTCCCCCATTATGCCTCTGCCTTCGCTGCCCCCAAGCAGAGATAGGGCTGGAGGGAAAAAGCTTTTAAGTTGGTTCCCCCAGCAACGGCGCCAGCTCCCCCACTCCTCTGCCTCTGACAGAGGCAGCAATTGGAGGGAAGCAACTAGTCAAGTCTCTCCTTATGCTTACTGGATAGTCGACTAGTCACTTACATCAGGTATTATTATCACTTTCAAATACAGGAGACATGCTATTTCCATGTAATTCTTGTTATTGGCTCTAACCAATGCAATGGGTCTCTCGACCAACAGCAATTTCCACTTTAAAATCTTGTGTTGCCATGCCTTTTAAAACTATAACGTGTTAATTAGATGATATGCACAGCAGAGTTCAATTAGATTCTGTGTCTACAATTCTAAAATGTCAACTCTCCTCTCGTGTCTTTCTCTTTTAGTTCTAACATTCTGGTGGATAAGATTCCTTATTAACATTTGGATACTTTCAGAATGTTCAAAAAAGTCATCCAGGCATTATAATGCTCAAGAATCACAATCCCAGACAGTGCTGGGGGAGCATGTTTTGTAGTCTGCTGTGCCCATACAGATCCCTATTGAACTCAAACTGGCCCAGTTAAAGAACTATGATTTGATTGGAATAACGGAGACTTGGTGGGATGACTCGCATGACTGGAGCACTGTCATAGAAGGGTATAAACTGTTCAGGAAGAACAGGCAGGGGAGAAAAGGAGGAGGATTTGCATTGTATGTAAGAGAGCAGTCTGACTGCTCGGAGCTCCTGCACTTAGAGGGAGAATAGACTGTTGAGAGTCTATGGGTTAAA